TGAGTGTCGGGCCATTCGCTGGACTGGTCCGTCAAGAAAGCCGGTCCATGTAACCATGATTTTATTTTCTCCAAGTTCAGCACATCCCGGGAACAGTAGTCGGCTGGATTGTCGACGGAGTTTATGTGCCGCCATTGACCCACCTCCGTTTCTTCGTGAATGGCAGCCAACCGGTTAGCTACAAATGTGCTGAAGCGCGTCCGTACATTCTTAACATAGTAAAGAACTATAGCGGAATCGGTCCAGTAAGTCACGGCTCATTCGATCGAGTTAAAACAACTTCTGGTCACCTCCGCTACCCTCACGGCTAATACTGCTGCGGCCAGTTCTTGTCTGGGTATTGAGACTGCCTTTAGAGGGGTGACTACGTGCGTCCGCATTCCGGGCCAGGTTGAGGATCACACCCCCTGCCTCACCCACAAGGTGTTTTAGGTTGGGTGTCTAGCCTGTAGTCCGTCCCACATTAAAGCGACCAACGTCTGAATAACATAAATAAAAACGAAACATTCCGTTGACGGTAAAGCCCCGAAGCCAAGTGTTCCGTGTTCACAGAAGCCGTTCCAACTGTATCGACATTTGAAACAGTTTGTTTATAAGCCATTTGTCGTCTATTCTTGAATAACTGTACTCTCCTTCAGCTCGATTGCAGTTCTGCCTCCGAAACTATGAATCTTTTGTCTTCACTATACACTTTCTGTTCTTTGAACTCGTCTCCGCTCATTTTCTCCCAAGCGGATTTTTTAACGTACAATTTTCTATCTTGCCCATTAATTTTCATAAGAAAAACGTTCACGATGACGTGCATTACATATATGACCTCTATTATATATATGACCTTGTTCGCTTTGTGTTTCGTTTTCATCGCAATGCACATTTACGATATCTTCCGTACCTGTTTGAAAATACATTTCTACACTCTTTGTACTGTTACTTTTTGTCTCCACCGTTCATTTTTTACTTTGTTGTACATTTGATCATGCACACTAGCATGCTTCACGGGCTTCGTGAAATATAGCGTTATTATTACTATTAAGATATGACCAGCATTTTTGCAAAGTGATGGAGCGAATAATAAGAAAAAAACTAAGGCGTAAAGTATCCTCCTAGGGAGACACCCGTCAGGAGTGCAACTAGTCTATCGCACACCCCAGGCGGAGCCCCAAAAGATATGAAACTACTTGCTACAATGTAGAAATTTTTATCGAGGACCGAAGGATCTNGTGACTTCAATCTTCCGGAGAGCTGCTGGATAGAGGGAGGGGCTCCCATTGGGACATAGGGAGAGAGCCTTCTGACGTGGCTGCACGCGCATGCGCTCATTCAGCATATCGTGCAGGCCACAAAGTTTCGCAACCAACAGAGGGCCTTCCTCCTGAAATTATTTATAACTTGGTACTATTCGGACATAAGTGAGATAGCAGTGCAGACTCCATTGGGCAAGAGTGATCATGGGGTACTTAGGTTAGTATTACCCATTAAACACAGCAAATCGGCTGCCCCCTTAAACGGCGCTACAGCCGCATAAACGTTGCTGTCCCACAAGAGGCCGCAGAGCACGTAGATTCGGTGCCACTGGCTTCCGAGCCAACATTGGAAGAGCGATTGTCTGTCATTAAGGTAGGGCTGCTTAGACTGACCGATACGTTTGCACCATTCAGACCTAGGAACAATAGGCAACGACCAACTTGGTGAAAGCCACAGCTACATCAAGAAGGCACGCAACAGAGCACAATCCCTTCAACGGGAGGCGAAGTATGAACATGAGAAAAAATTAGCGAAAAACGTAAATCATAAGCCGGAAAGGTTTTATGCACAAGTGCGATAAAACAAAAACACCAAGGAGGGAGCAGGTACACTGGAGGTAACGGAAGGCGTAAAGGCCACCACCGACCAGGAAAAGGCAAATGCGCTCCTTACGTTTTTCAAGGGAATTTATCGGTCACGTATAGCAGAACACACTGTAGACTGCAGCCTGGTTAGGACAAGGAAGCATTTCACAGAGTTCAACCTCTGTGAAAACAATGTGGTCCGAGAGCTCAACGCCTTAAATAGGTATAAAGCAGCAGGACTGGATAGATTTTATCCCGCCGTGATCCAGCCTCTAGCAAATGCATTAGCGGGATCGGTCACTAAGCTATTTAGGGAGTCCATCGGTATTTGCAGGCTTCCAGAGGACTGGAAAACTGCAACCGTAATGGCCATCCAAAAGTCAGGCCCTAGACACCATGTTTGCAGCTATAGGCTGATACGTTTGACCTCGGTCTTCTGCAAGTGTCTCGAGCGAACTGTCAAGAAACAGATTTCTTCCTATCTGATAGCGCAGAGGCTTATGATTCAAACTCAGCATGGATTCATTGAGAAACGATCGTGTCTAACCAACCTGCTGGCATTTCTAAACGGAGTGACAAAAAGAATAGACGCAGGTACCCAGGGGGAGGTTCGCTACCTTGATTTCAGCAAAACGTTCGACTCTGTCAGTCATCAGCTTCTGGATCTAAAAATGCAGACTCTGGGAATTCTAGGTAAGGCAAGGGAATGGATAAGGGAATTCCTCAACTTTCGCACATTCAGCTTGAGAGTTGGAAATTATACAATCAAGCCTAAGGGAAGATGGAGTGGTGTCCCACAGGGATCGGTGTTGGGTCCTTTATTATTTTTTGTCTTAATTAACGACCTTGCGAAGGATCTCCAAAATCCTTGCTTCATGTTCGCCGATGATGTGAAGATAGCTGGTGAAGGATTGAAACAAGATTTAGATGCAGCTTGAAGGTGACCAAATAGATTGCATCTACCACTGAATCCAAGTAAGTGTCAGCTTTTGACCACAGAGCCAACGATGATACGAGAACTGTGATGCATTTGCAGCATATCTCTGAGACAAGGGATCTAACGTTTATTATTAAAAATGACTTCAGGCCATCCCTAAAGTGCAAGCGTGCGGCTGACAAAGCTCAACACGAACTTTTCAGGTTGTGCGCTGTTGTTAGGTGCGGAAGACCCGAGGTATTCATACCTTTGTACAAGAATATAGTGCGTCATCATTTAAAATGTTGCGTACAGGCATGAGCGCCTTATTTTAAACAGGAAGATTGGTGTCTTGAGCGTTTGGCAACTATAGTTGCCATCATCCGAGGAGGAGGGGACTGTCAACAACCAAGGGGCAAAACAGACCGTAGAGCTAAAAGCGAACCCAGAGAAGCGACTCGTGTCGATGAATANATAGGGAATGAAAAAGAAGAATAAAAGGAAGCCCAGAGGTGCTAAAGACAAAATGGCAAACCAACAGCAGCAAACAGTCGGGCAAGATAAGGGATCAGAAGCCATGAATAATAAGGTGTCCGCTTTGGAAAGATAATTCCAAAATATAGCCAAAACCCTGTTCGAGCTCCAGCGGACAAGTGATTTGGCCTTGGGAAGACACAGTAATGTTGTCAAAGGCATTCCTGAACCTTTCGTG